AAAAACCTTTAGACTCAGTGACGCTTTCCTGGCTAAACAAGTGTAACATTCCCTTATAATTCCCTGAGATAGCTTTTAATTAAAACATTTAAATTAAAAAATAACTCACAGCGGCCTAAAGCCTACAGCTAGGCCTAAAGCCTAGAACTAGGCCTCAAAATCTCCCTTCGTATCGTACCCCCGCGTGTGTGAAAGGGAGTTAATGTTTAACAATGTTACATTCCCTGATGTTTTTTTTTTAATATAAACATTTACATTTAAAGCTTTTACATTAATAATTAAAACATTTAAATTAAAAATTAACTCACAGCGGCCTAAAGCCTACAGCTAGGCCTAAAGCCTAGAACTAGGCCTCAAACTTTCCCTTTGTATCGTACCCCCGCGTGTGTGAAAGGGAGTTAATGTTTAACAATGCTACATTCCCTGATGTTTTTTTTTAAATAGAAACATTTACATTTAAAGCTTTTACATTAATAATTAAAACATTTAAATTAAAAATTAACTCACAGCGGCCTAAAGCCTACAGCTAGGGCTAAAGCCTAGAACTAGGCCTCAAACTCTCCCTTCGTATCGTACCCCCGCGTGTGTGAAAGGGAGTTAATGTTTAACAATGTTACATTCCCTGATGGTTTTTTTTATAGAAACATTTACATTTAAACCTTTTACATTAATAATTAAAACATTTTAATTAAAAATTAACTCACAGCGGCCTAAAGCCTACAGCTAGGCCTAAAGCCTAGAACTAGGCCTCAAACTCTCCCTTTGTATCGTCCAATTAGGTGTAGCAACATCGCCCCCTACTGCAAACACTTGGCAGGACCCTACAAAAACCTTTACACTCAGTGAGGCTTTCCTGGCTAAACAAGTGTAATAATACATTATGTTTATATTCTTTGGGTATTCGTTCCTACCAGCCCACCCCACAGGGACCTGTTTATGTGCATATCCTATTAGTGGATTATTTGCAGTGAAACTTGGCATGCCTAACAGCCTCGCTGTTAAAATGCAAAGCGTTTAAGGAGGTTGGCCGTTCAGACACGTCGCTCCACCGGCGTTATCCTGCACACACTGATTGACTGGCCACGGAGCAGTGTGAGGATTGAAAGGGTATGAGCCGTCAAATTCCAAGTGAAAGGGGTGGTCAGTTGGATCGGTAAGTTACATTAGCTCGGTTGAGTATGGTCGAGAAGGCCACGCAAAAAATAAAAAGCCTGGTTAACTGTCCCTTGAGGCGCCTTCCAGACACCCGTTATGAATGCATGTTCTGTCTTACTGACTGAATAAAGATAGCCCTTCTTGAAGCAAAGCTTGTGCTCGACTCCTTTACATCTGTAACGTAACGACTTCCGAGACACTGTCTGTAGAGGGCTTCTTTATTATTTTTCGTCGGCATACAGCTACGACTTAAGGACACAGTCACAGGTTATTTAGCGCTGACTGACTATATACCTGGCTGACTATACAGCGACAACAGCGATGCCTAACTATATAGCTGATTGACTATATAGCGACGACGGCGACGGAGAGACGACAGTGATGACGATGACAGCGGCGACCACCAGAACCCCGAACCCCTCGGTGCCCAGAACCCCATTCCTCTCTGCCTTTTATCCTCCCAGCATGGCCATGCCCCGCCCCTGGCCACGCCCCTCTTCTCGCACTCTCCCGCGGGTTCTGGGAGCTTCCGGATAAATCCTCTCTTTGACCCTTGGCCTAGTTTTCCCCCCTTGTGGTTGCTCACGTGCATACTCTCTTCTGTAGTTTGTGTGCAATTCTCCCACCCGTAATTAGTCCTTTTGACCACCAGTCGGCGCACTGTCTCTACACATGTGTGAAGATAAATATTCACCACCATTAATAAGCTTTGCATTGGGATTTGTTCCACTCTGATAATGACTATCTTCTTTTGACAGAAATTTGTTGTCGTGGGCATGGACCTGAAGTACGAACCATAGGTGGGAGGTCCGGGGGCCACCAGAGCTGCCCACGTCGCCTTGGATGGGATCGGCCACCGTGGTGTCACCGATGCTTCATGGCCTCACATGGCAGCGTGTGGGGTCATTCTGCTTGGGAACGTTTTATTTGGTAATCCTGAGGGGGACTATCATTCATTGATTACCAGAATATAACAATAATTAATAAATGATGTTAGGGTTCGGCCAGGTATTGAACCCTCCACTACCCGACGTAATTATGAATCGTAATATTGATTGTGGAAATATAACTACTGTATGCTAATTAACTCTCTTTAAATGAATTATTCTATGTGATTACAAAATACAATAATCATAACTTGGTTCATGATTGTTTTGCTACTTTCCATTCATTGTCTAGTATATTGGTTCAGCATATGTAAGCATGTTGTGACCGATGCTGTCTGTTTGGAAATATGGGTGTGGTGTGTTGCTTTTGCAAAATAAACCGTGATGATGAAATGTGGAGTGTGCTATGGTTAATTCATCTCGCAATATTAACCAGGGGCCCCGGCTCATGCGATGACCACAGTGTGTGACAGGATGCTCACTCACGTGGCCTATAATCCAGCACTGCTGTAGTGGCATTGAGGGCTGGTGGATTGCACATACGTTGTGACGCTGCATTCCCATTGTCGTCGATGAGCTGCGATACCCTGGTTCGCCAGAAGATGGCGGTACAGGAAGTGTGGACTAATCTGTTGCCATCTGTACGGGGATGGAGCATTGCCTCCTCACATGCGTGGGTCTTCTCCGGGTGTTCCGGTTTCCTCCCACTTGTGTAATAAACACTCATCATGAATTGGCTGAAAACATCTTAAAATAAATACCCAAAAAAGAGTCCAGTGACTCAGTGTGGTTGTCCTGGATATACAAGTAAAAAAACTTTCCTGCTCGTTACGTGCCAGTGTAATATCCATATAAGACCGTGTCTATGCATATAAAAGGATTGAGGTCTTGTATGGAGAGTCGCTCAACACTCTTCGGGTGAACCGAGGGGATGAAGTCCCGGCATGGGCAGCGAAGACGGGCGGAGGGGACTCGGCCCCTGCGGCACGACGGTGCGAGGGGTGGGGGGGGAACACGCGTGGCGGGTGAGGATCTGGACAAAACCGTGTATTTGAGAGGTCCCTGAATTCAGCTAACGAAAGATACAAGTTGAGTCTTGACTTAAAGCTTTCGTGACTGCAGGAATTCATACTCTTTGGGTCTTTCGGTAAAGTCACGTAGATAGAAAAATAATTGTAAAAATCACGACGTTTCAATCGCAAAACAAGCAATCGTCTTCAGGTGAAATAAGTTATGTTAAAAACTTTTTTTTAAACACGCTTTAATGAATTGTATCGTGCGAGTAATGGAAGAACTCCACGACTCCAGGAAGTGGTCCCGAAGCTTGCCATAACGTAAGGGACCGTGGTCAGTTACAGCCAACGTCAGTTGACGGTGGATAATTAGACCCAAGCCGAAACATAACATGTCAAAAATATTGTTTACAATTTTTTATTATTATTATTATTATAGAATATAGTATTGTCATCAGCATGACATAAGTATACCAAGTTTGCAGTCGATACCACATTGGGAAGTGGGTTAAAATTGAGTTACAAGATTTGAGGATACAACAACATTTTTCGATTTAAAGCTTTCGTGACTGCAGGGATTCATCTTCTTGGTTCTTTCGGTAAAGTCACGTAGAAGGGAAGTAATAAAATAATAAAAATAAAACATAATAAAATAACAACAACAACAACAGAGTTAAATAAAAGCGTGTAAATAAAATACAGCAGGCGAACTGCTGAAGGCAGGATCTCAGCAGTTCGCCTGCTGTATTTTTTCACCTGAAGATGATTGCTTGTGTTGAGAACGAAACGTGATTTTTTTATTTTTCTATCTACGTGACTTTACCGAAAGACCCAAAGAGTATACAAGTTCAGGTTGAATATTTTTTTTTACATTTAAAATTCTTGTGTTATTGATCACGTTATTGTATCGTTTTTACGTATTTACTTGTATTGCCTATCTGGGCTTCATTTGAAATGTGTCTTAAGCGAGACCAACATCTTCAGTTTAAGCGAGACCAACATCACACCACCACGATTAGTCCGAGCCCTGCTCGGCTGCCAGAGATCCAGATATATATTCTTGGTTGTTTCGGTAAGGTCAAGTAGAAGGGAAATAATAAATAATAAAAATAAACAATACAATTCTCACGACGTTTCGATTGCAACACAATCAATCATCATCAGGTGATGCAATCGAAACGTTGTGAGAATTGTATTGTTTTATTTTTATTATTTTATTATTTCCCTTCTACGAGACTTTACCGAAAGAACCAAGAATATGAATCCCTGCAGTCACGAAAGCTTTAAATCGAAAAAGATCCAGATATCTTCTTGTGAGGCCAGCATCATATCACGGTTTAGAGAAAAAAATGACAAGTTTTATTTTACCAGGTAAGGCCCACTGAACCATATAGCTCCTGTTCAGAAGCGAGCTGGCCACAAATACTAGCTCATAGAAGAGGAGGAGGAAGAGGATGAGGAGGATGAGGAGGGGGATGAGGAGGATGAGGAGGATCAAGAGGATCAGGATGAGGAGGATGATGAGGATGAGGAGGAGGAAGATGAGGATGAGGAGAAGGATAAAGATGATGATACAGAGGAGGATGAGGAGGAGGATGAAGAAGATGAGGAGGATGAGGAGGATGAGGAGAAGGAAGAGGAGGATGAGGATGAAGATGATGATACAGAGGAGGAGGAGGATGAGGAGGAGGCGGCGTTATTTTGTTGGTGACCGTGGCGGCCTCTAGTGGAGGGAGCGATCCCGCACAATGTGACAGCACACGCAGACAATCCACGCGAGTGTCGCCTGCGATGGAGTCGGTGCGAATCGATTAATCGATTACCGCTCCCACCCCCCGTGTTAAGTGCGAACCCGGACGATCGACTCCATAGGCATATCGATTACTCCCACAAGAATCGATTCCACGAACTGAGAGGTTCTGCGTTTTGCGAGTGGGAATCGACGAACCCGGCGAATCGATGTCGCGGGAATCGCGAGTGTCATCCAGGCGGAGGCGGCATGGCGGACCGCAGCGCGGGCGAGTGGTGCCTCATTGAGAGCGACCCCGGAGTCTTCACCGAACTCATCCGGGGATTCGGTGCGTGCCGAGCCGGGCCGAGCCGGGCCGAGCCGCGTGTCAGAGCGCCGGTGTTGAGTTGCTCCGCGTGCGCGAGTTCCCGGCTCCTTCCTCCCTCTATCGCCTCCCTCTCCTCCTCCTCCTCCCTCTCTCGCCCTCTCTCCATGCTCGGGGCGCGACGCCGACCCCTGAGCTGTGTGCACGTGTGTTTGTGTGTTTGTGTGCACGTGTGTTTGTGTGCACGTGTGTTTGTGTGCACGTGTGTTTGTGTGTTTGTGTGCACGTGTGTTTGTGTGCACGCGTGTTTGTGTGCACGTGTGTTTGTGTTGGTGTTGTGTGCACGTGTGTTTGTGTGCACGTGTGTTTGTGTGCACGTGTGTTTGTGTGTTTGTGTGCACGCGTGTTTTGTGTGCACGTGTGTTTGTGTGCACGCGTGTTTGTGTGCACGTGTGTTTGTGTGTTTGTGTGCACGTGTGTTTGTGTGCACGTGTGTTTGTGTGTTTGTGTGCACGTGTGTTTGTGTGCACGTGTGTTTGTGTGTTTGTGTGCTTGTGTGTTTGTGTGCACGTGTGTTTGTGTGTTTGTGTGCACGCGTGTTTGTGTGTTTGTGTGCACGTGTGTTTGTGTGCACGCGTGTTTGTGTGCACGCGTGTTTGTGTGTTTGTGTGCACGTGTGTTTGTGTGCACGCGTGTTTGTGTGCACGTGTGTTTGTGTGTTTGTGTGCACGCGTGTTTGTGTGTTTGTGTGCACGTGTGTTTGTGTGCACGCGTGTTTGTGTGCACGTGTGTTTGTGTGTTTGTGTGCACGTGTGTTTGTGTGCACGTGTGTTTGTGTGCACGTGTGTTTGTGTGTTTGTGTGCACGTGTGTTTGTGTGCACGTGTGTTTGTGTGCACGTGTGTTTGTGTGTTTGTGTGCACGCGTGTTTGTGTGTTTGTGTGCACGTGTGTTTGTGTGCACGCGTGTTTGTGTGCACGTGTGTTTGTGTGTTTGTGTGCACGTGTGTTTGTGTGCACGTGTGTTTGTGTGTTTGTGTGCACGTGTGTTTGTGTGCACGTGTGTTTGTGTGTTTGTGTGCTTGTGTGTTTGTGTGCACGTGTGTTTGTGTGTTTGTGTGCACGCGTGTTTGTGTGTTTGTGTGCACGTGTGTTTGTGTGCACGCGTGTTTGTGTGCACGCGTGTTTGTGTGTTTGTGTGCACGTGTGTTTGTGTGCACGCGTGTTTGTGTGCACGTGTGTTTGTGTGTTTGTGTGCACGCGTGTTTGTGTGTTTGTGTGCACGTGTGTTTGTGTGCACGCGTGTTTGTGTGCACGTGTGTTTGTGTGTTTGTGTGCACGTGTGTTTGTGTGTTTGTGTGCACGTGTGTTTGTGTGCACGTGTGTTTGTGTGTTTGTGTGCACGCGTGTTTGTGTGCACGTGTGTTTGTGTGTTTGTGTGCACGCGTGTTTGTGTGTTTGTGTGCACGTGTGTTTGTGTGCACGCGTGTTTGTGTGCACGTGTGTTTGTGTGTTTGTGTGCACGTGTGTTTGTGTGTTTGTGTGCACGTGTGTTTGTGTGCACGTGTGTTTGTGTGTTTGTGTGCACGCGTGTTTGTGTGCACGTGTGTTTGTGTGTTTGTGTGCACGTGTGTTTGTGTGCACGTGTGTTTGTGTGCACGTGTGTTGTGTGCACGTGTGTTTGTGTGTTTGTGTGCACGTGTGTTTGTGTGCACGCGTGTTTGTGTGTTTGTGTGCACGTGTGTTTGTGTGTTTGTGTGCACGTGTGTTTGTGTGTTTGTGTGCACGTGTGTTTGTGTGCATGTGTGTTTGTGTGCACGTGTGTTTGTGTGTTTGTGTGCACGTGTGTTTGTGTGCACGCGTGTTTGTGTGTTTGTGTGCACGTGTGTTTGTGTGCACGTGTGTTTGTGTGTTTGTGTGCACGTGTGTTTGTGTGCACGTGTGTTTGTGTGTTTGTGTGCACGTGTGTTTGTGTGCACGCGTGTTTGTGTGCACACGCGTGTTTGTGTGCACGCGTGTTTGTGTGCACGCGTGTTTGTGTGCACGCGTGTTTGTGTGCACGCGTGTTTGTGTGCACGCGTGTCTGTGTGCACGCGTGTTTGTGTGCACGTGTGCACGCGTGTTTGTGTGCACGCGTGTTTGTGTGCACGCGTGTTTGTGTGCACGTGTGCACGCGTGTTTGTGTGCACGCGTGTCTGTGTGCACGCGTGTCTGTGTGCACGCGTGTCTGTGTGCACGCGTGTTTGTGTGCACGTGTGTTTGTGTGAGTAAGGGGAGTGGTGGCGCAGTGGTGAGCGCGCTGCGCGACGCTCACGGCAAACACCGGTGACGACTATCTGAACCGGACCCGGGCCTCCCCTAGGGTGACTCAGCCTCAAATGAGTACCTGCTGCGATGTGTAAACATCGCCACTGGAGAGACAAAGGCGGTCGGGCGTGGTGCTGGCCACCCACCCCCTTGTGTACCGTTCCGGCCTTCATAGGTGCTCGCTAACAGCACTTGCACCAACAATCGGTAGGGGGAGTGGGGAGTGCAGTTGGTGCAACTTGCCAGTCATCTCGGTCAGTCAAGCCATGACACATGTGTTTGTTCCGTGGCCTGCCAGTGGGCCTTCGATACTCCACGTGGCCCCAAAGTGTGCACCAAGCATGGCAAAAACGCCGTGGTGACATCACAGCCACTTTGTGGTGAACCGCGTGTGTGGGTTTCAGTTCGTGTGTGTGCGTGTGTGTGTGCATGTGGGTGTGTGTGTGTGCATGTGGGGGTGTGTGCATGTGTGTGTGTGCATGTGGGTGTGTGTGTGCATGTGGGTGTGTAGCGGTTAGTGCGTTGTGCTACGAACCCGGAGACCCGAGTTCAATTTCCGCTCACGGCCAACGCCAATGACGGATTATCTGAACCAGTCTTGGGCTTCCCCTAGGGCGACTCGGCCTCAAATGAATATCTGGTGCGGTGTGTAAAAGCATCGCCACTGGGGAGACAAAGGCGGTCGGGCGTGGGGCTGGCGACCCACCCCCTCGTGTACCATGCCAACCTTTATAGGTGCTACTTGCAAACAACACTTTCCCCAACAGTCTGCGAAGGCTATACGTGTTGTTTTCTGTGCGCGCTGGGGTGTTTCTGTGTATTCACATGGCAGTGTACGTGAGAGTGTGGATGTGCCTGGTGTGTGAATGTGTCATGTAAGGATTTGTTGAGGCGCGTGCAAGTGTGGGCATATATAACAATGTCAACTTGTAACGGTTCGACACAGTGTTCGCTCACTCTCAGAGAGAGAAGACGCAAGAAGGAACAACAGACGAGCGGGAAGGCAGCCACGCAATGAGCCAGAACCAAATCCCCCCCCCCCCTCAAGTTCTGCGGTCCTCAACATATTAAGCTGTTTAGAACCAATGATTGTTTTAACATGAGAGAAACCCGGAGCCGCACTATCCCCTATAGATAGCGAGCCAGGGTTTGGCACCTTGATGCTCACGGGTAAGGGAGTTTAACGACTTTTGTGCGGTGATCCACTGACCCTCGCTGCTGCCTGCACTGCCGTATTACAGGCAGCAACATTGCCGGGGGTGGCCACCACAGCCGCCCGGCGCATTGTGTGGATGTGTGAGCATGGACGTGTGTGAGCGTGGACGTGTGGGAGCGTGGTCGTGCAGGGACGTGTATGGGCGTGCGCACGGGCGTCCCGGGGGCGGCGTACGCGGCTGTGTTGGTACGAACATCGACGCGTGCAATTCATGCTTTCTTGTTGACGGAGTGTAACGCCTGTGTGAATCTGCGCGTGCAGGCTGTAAAGGGGCGCAGGTGGAGGAGATTTACAGCCTGGAGGAGGAGAGCTTCAGCAAACTCAAGTGGGTCCTGCGCACGCGGTCCCTCCGGGCACGGCGCAAACCGACTCTCGCGCCCGGGCACGTGCGTGGCACCGGGGAGGGGATGCGGCCCAGCGGCCGGGACATTCGCCACACGTGGCGGAATGTTAACGCGTCGAATCAAGCAGGCCGCCCCGGATAATACCACGGGCGTATTAGCCTTAGAATACCACGCGACATCTGCTTCACAGTGGACGTTGAAGAGCCCACGACGTATGCCGGCCCACGTCGTGGTACCATTTTGCCAAATTGTTTTAAGGTGTGCTGAAAATTACTCGTGTAATTACACGTAGCAACCATCGCCCTCTACTGGCAGGATAATGCCCGCTTGCAGGCCGGTGCAGCGCTTCCTTGTGCCACACAGGGACATCTGCCGTTAGAGCATCTCCTGGGCAAAAAAAAAACTGCGCCGAGACTTTTGATTACGTTGAAGCAATATATCGTGTTTATTTTACTAGATAAGGCCCACTGAGATATATAGCTTGACTTAAAGCTTTCGTGACTGCAGGAATTAATATTGTTTGGGTCTTTCGGTAAATTTACGTAGATAGGTTCAAAAATTAATGAAAATAAACAAAAACTACGACGTTTCGATGGCAACGCAAGTGGTCGTCATCAGGAGGACAAAAGGGGGCAGGCTGTAAATCCCTTTTGTCCTCCTGATGTCAATTGCTTGTGTTGCGATCGAAACGTCGTAGTTTTTGGTTTATTTATTACTTTTTTAACATATCTACGTGACTTTACCGAAACACCCAAAGAATATGAGCTATTTAGCTCTTTTTCAGAAGCGGAGTAGCTCATCACGTGGACTCTTATTGCAGCCAAATAGTCTAAACGCGTGAATACGTTGATTCTGAATGTGGAGGGGAAAACCGGAGGACCCGGAGAAAAGTCCACGCGACCACGAGAAGAACATGCAAACGCCAAATGTACAGGCCTCATGGTTGGGATCGAACCAACGAACTTCTGCATACCAGGCGAGGGAGTTAACATCTCGCTATCGCGGTGCCTGAATGCGAGTATTAGTGTTATCAAGTTGTGTTGATGTGAATACATCTTCTTTTGTTACATGAGACTAATAGATCATGCAAAGCAGTGAGATGGAATAAACAACACATGAGACAGTAAATACGAGACAAACAAATATTCCTGAATTGATAGGGCACACCCCAATATTGACAATTGTTATTAATATGCTTGTTTACCCAAGAATGCCTCGGTGAGTCTCATGACTCTTTCAGAAGGATCCTGACAAGGTTTTGAAGTTGTGGGCGATGCTGCTGCTGTTGTGTGATCCCAATTGAGTAATGTGCAGGAGTGTTTCAGCATTGGGATGTTTGGCCAATACCATTTGCATTGGATGTTTTCAGCTATGGGAGGAAACCGGAGAACCTGGAGAAAACTATGCAGAACAGGGAGAGAACATTAAAAAAAAACTTGCACTCACTCGGAAGAAGAGGTGGGGAAACCTACAAACTTCACACAAAGTCGAAAATCGAAGCTATGTAGCTCTTTTTCAGAAGCGACCTGGCCACAAATAATAGCCCAACGAGAAGTGGCTTATGTCGAAATTTATAGCAGCCAAACACTCTAAACGCATGTTTCAAAATGTGTTGGGAAAAACTGGAGAACCTGGAGAAAAATCCACGTGACCACGTGGAGAACATGCAAACTCCAAATATACAGCAGGCGTCAGGGTTGGGATCGGACCCACGAACTTCTGCATACCAGGCGAGGTAGTTAACACCTCACCACTGCGCCACCATCAAAAATCTTCAAACCTAAAATATGAGTGAGGAACATTTGTAAGCCGGTGGCGTGACCCGCTCGACTCTGGCTGCCGCAGGCCGGTGCACGGTTTGATCTTCCTGTTCAAGTGGACCGCGGGGGAGGAGATGGAGGGCTCCATCGTGCGCGACTCGCGCAACGACACACTCTTCTTCGCCAAGCAGGTACACGCGTGCTCGGTGCCTCGCCGTCAGCGCGGGCAGGACATTACAGGGGAGCGCCTGGGAGAACGGTCACAGGGAACTTTTGCGATGTATGTCAGAATGTGGTCTCCCCCTTCTTAACGCTGTTCACCCAATACAGTGTCACCCAGACTCAAGACTTTTTCAGGAAGGGTCCTGCAAGTCTTTGCGATAGAGGGCGATGTTGCTGCTTTGTGTGTGATCCCAATTGAGTAATTTGCAGGTAACATGTCGGCATTGGGAGATTTGTCCAACAGCAGTTACATTGTGGGTTTTTTGTTGGGTATGGGATGAAACCAGAGAACCGGGGGAAACACAAGCAGAGGAGGGGGATCACACGCAAACTCCACTCACACCAACACAGACAAAGATCTCCCGTGTAGCCTTAACAGACTTTTGGGGCAAATGCTGTTAGCAAGCACCTATGAAGGCCGTCACGGCACATGAGGGGGTAGGTGGCCAATACCACACCCAGCCGCTTTTGTTTCCCTAATGGTGATGTTTACGCACCGCACCGGGTACTCATTTGATGCTGAGTCAACCTAGGGGAGGCCTAGGACCAGTTCATATCATCATCACTGGTGTTGACCACGAGCGGGAATTGAACTTGGGCCGGCGGGTCCATAGCGCAACGCGCTAACCGCTATGTCGCAGCTCCCAACACTCTTAGCGCACACACTCGCACACTCACTTTCATTCACTCGGCAGAACAGGGGGACAACATACAAATTACACGCAGAAAGGCACCTGAGTTTGGATCAAACTCGGGACCTTCTTACCGAGAGGCTTGAGCGTTACCACTACGCCACCACCCTGCCACCCGTAATGCCTGTGCGTGCATGTGTTACAGATGATTAGCAACGCAATGACGAACGGTAGTATAGTGGTTAGTGCGCTGCGCTATGAACCTGGCGACCCGAGTTCGATTCCCGCTCACGGCCAACACCAGTGACGATTAGTTGAACTGGTCCTGGGCCGCCCCTAGGCTGACTCAGCCTCACATGAGTACCTGGTGTGGTGTGTAAACATTTACTTGGGAGACAAAGGCGGTCGGGCGTGGTGTTGGCCACCCACCTCCTCGTGTACCATTCCGGCCTTCATAGGTGCTCGCTAACAGCACTTGCCCCAACAGTCTATTGAGGCTATATGGGGGGTCTTTGTCTTTGTTTCAGGTGATCAGCAACGCGTGCGCCACGCAGGCGCTGCTGAGCGTGCTGCTGAATGTGACACACGGCGATGTCGCACTGGGCCACACGCTCACCTCCTTCCGCGACTTCACCAGCGGCTTCGACTCGGCGGTGAGCTCGCGGCCCACTCGACCCTACGCGCCCATGCACGTGCGCGCAGTCCAGCCGGCCTCATTCCCCGTCGTCACAGTTGTAGCCATTTAGAGTTGCCTCGCCCCACCACCACCGCCGTACAGGATAGGCTCGCTGCCGAAGAGAGAATCGCTCGAAGGAACGAGGAGGAACCACAGATGAGTGGGAAGGCAGCAGCAGTAGCCACGTGGTGAGCCGGTGCTAGGCTCACCCCCCATGAAGCTCTACGGTTCTCTGTGTATTAAGTTGATTTTAGTCAATGAGTTGTTTACACATTTGGGAGGAGAGCGGAGCACCCAGAGAATACGCACACATTCAATGGGGAAGACTCTAACCCATACGTTACTAAACATGCTCATTAGCATCGTTGTGGAGAATATAAATAAACATTGGAGATTACTCTACACTTGCTGTACTGCCATCTCCTGACGAGCCAGGGTACGAAACCTCAACAGTCACAACATGTTGTGACCCACCAACCCTCGCTGCCTCCACGGTGCTGGACTACCACATCCCGGCGATGTTGCAGTACTGTCTCGTGTGACCCACTGAAGGATGCTATTCGCTGTTCAGAGCTACGTATTGACTCAAGAAGCAATGTATTGTGTCTCGTGCGTGTATTATCTCATCTCGTATTGTTTATACTCTCTGCCTAATTTGTACCAACTTGTTTGTATTGTCTCTCTCGTATTTATCGTGTTGTACTGCATGCCTCGTTTGCATCGTCTCTTATCTTTTGTTCTGTTTCACGATGTTCCCGTCTCGTCTGTTCATCTCGTTCTATTCGACAAAAAGGAACATTCCAGAGTTCCTAATCAAAACGAGGCGCCGTTGGTGCTCATCTCCTGAGCCAGTGGTGGAAATTCCTCATTGCCATGGACAGGGCAAGTCTATATTCATCGGACAACCACTTATGGCTTCCCCACAGAGTGGTGCTCATATCGATCCCCGAATTTGAACTCGTGACCTTGCGAGAGCCCATCACTCTCCCAATGAGCCACTTGGCTGGGTGTAACTGCTTAATTTATATTTGCCGTGATGATGATGTACCACACACACACGTGACCTGATACACGTGTTGATCAATTGATGCATCGCCAACTGAACAACACCTCACAGTCAAATAGATGATAAGCTGCGTCCCATATGATCTGCCTCTCCACCTAACAAATAAAATAAATTTTTACTCATACCATCAGCCACACACGGACCTTCTGGAAGTGCATGAATTTAGCAGCTTTGGTTCAACACAAGCAGCTTTCCACATTCGGTGTCTCGGTAAGGACAGCTGACACGGTAGGAATGTGGCGAGGAGTGGTGGGGTGCATTAACATGCAGATCTCTCACAATACAATAGCCACCTCCACAGACTCAGGGAGACCATCTCTAGCCCCGCCCTCTTAACCTGAGGCTGCCCCCATCTCAGGCCTACACAAGACCTTGTTTCTGTAGCTTTCTCTCTCTCACCCGAAGATGGTCGCTTGTGTTGCGATCGAAACGTCGTGATCTATTAATTTTCTACCTACGTGACTTTACCGAAAGAACCAGAGAGAATGGATTCCTGCAGTCACGAAAGCTTCAAATCTAAAAATATAATAGTTTGTTTTGGCTTGTGACGGAAGTGGCGCTTCTGTGCGTGTGGATTTTTGTTGACGTGCGCAGATGAAGGGACTGGCTCTGAGCAACTCGGACACAATCCGCCAAGTCCACAACAGCTTCGCCAGGTGCGTGCAGATGCGGGTCACCGGCATTGCAGCGAGAGCAGGCTCGGCGACGCGACGTCTTTGCTCGCCAGACACTTCAGTGGCGTAAAGCAACACGAATGTCAAACGCGGCTTCGCACAGATGGCTAGCACGGTTGGCTACGTACGGTGCGAAAGAAGATCAACGTAAATACAAACACACAATAGACTGTCAGAAAGGTTGAACGGCGTTCGTATGGCTGGGCGAGAGAGACGGTGGCGTGTTGCCACCACAAGCTCGGCTCGTGGGAGATGGGCGCGATCGGTGAACAAAGCGCATGCAGAGTATATATCCGTGGTCTCTCGAAGTGGAACATCATATCGGTCGGTGATGGTTACGAAATAAGGTGGCTCATGTTATCATGCTAACGGTGGAAGGCGTTCTCGCTCGCTGGCCTGGTGGCGAGGCGCGGATGAGCAAATGCCCGTGGTGTTGGCGCAGGCAGCAGATGTTTGAGTGGGACGGCCGTGCAGCTGGCAAAGACGAGGACGCGTTCCACTTCGTGGCCTTTGTGCCCAAGCAAGGTCGCCTCTACGAGCTGGATGGCCTTCGCGATGGGCCCATCGATCTGGGTACGTCCAAAGCTTCTCTTTGTTACCTTTATGTTTTAGATTCTAGATTTGAAGTTTTCGTGACTGAAAGGATTCATATTCTTAGGTTTTTTCCGGTAAAGTCACGTAGGTAAAAAATTTAAATTAATAAAAGTAAAATAAAATAAAAATCACGACGTTTCGGAGGCAACGCAAGCTTCCGTCTTCAGGTGGAACAGTCTATCGTGCTGTGACGGTTCCACCTGAAGACGGAAGCTTGTGTTGCCTCTGAAACGTCGTGATTTTTATTTTATTTTTATTTTACTTTTATTAATTTAAATTTTTTACCTACGTGACTTTACCGGAAAAAACCTAAGAATATGAACCTTTAAGTTTGATTTTTTTTTTCGTACATGTCATCATTTGTGCAGAGTCCATCACAAAATGAAACACAGCTTATTTACATACCGTATAACCGACAGAGCTCACTCCAATATATATTGTTGTACATATCATTCATAGCATATCTCTGTGTTCATTCATCCCATGCATATATTTACAGTTTGTTATTTGGATTATTGTTGCAGTGTTATTTGGTTTGTAATTGGATTCGTTTGGATATTTCATGATTTTTTATTTATTATTTCTTTTTTCATTTTTGTTGATTATTTCTTCGACATTCTATTGAAAAGTTGTGGAGCTGACAACTCAAGCATTTCGCTGCACCCGCTATAACATCAGCTTCACTGTGTATGCGACCAATAAATGTTGATTGATTGAAAACCGCCACTCTAGGATTTGTGAGGACGCTCACAGGTTTCGTACGGGGGACACGGGAGACCACAAACCAGAGCACCCAGAAAAAATCCACACGTGTGAGGGGGCAGCACTAATTGTAATAATAATCATCGTCGTCGTGTGTAGTTTTATATATCACGACCTTCATGGAAATCACATCTCTCACAATCGCTGAGGATCCGCAGACCAAGTTGAAAGGCAGCAGCAGCCAGGCGGTGAGCTGGCGCTACCAACAATTGCCAAAGCTCTGCTGTCCTCTATATATAAAGATGTTTTAGCCAAGTAACGAGTGTTTATTTATGTGGGTGGTAAGCGGAGCACCTAGAGAACATCAACGTACGCGAGGGGGCAACACTCTATCCCACACAGAAGGAACAGATGGAGATTAGTCCACACTTTGCTGTACTCTACTACCTTACCTTGGCGCATCAGGGTATGGCACCTCCTTAACACCAATGGGGAGGGGGCTTCACGACACTTGTGTGGTCCACGAACCCTCGCTGCTGCTGCTGCTGCTACTGCCTCCATAGTGCTGGATTATAGGCAGCCACGTGCAGCAGCTTGGCCACCACCGCCACCTGGCTGTGCAGTCGGAGTCTCGGACTGCACAGCGGCATGTTTAGGAAGTATTTCAAATACAATTCGGTGACTCATACAGCGGTAAAGCAGGAGTGGGGAAATGGATTGTTATCATTATGGACATGCAAAGTAACACACCTGTTGCTTCATTGGATGCAAAACAATGAGTGACAAGAAGTGGATTCCTGCTCAAACGAGCCTTCAGACATTGGTTCACATCTCCATTGCAGCAGCCCTTATCCAGTGATAAGAAAGTCCAACATTGCTGCTGCAGGAGCGAATCCATCCACAGGACAACCACTGTTGACTTCCCCAAAGAGTGGTACTCGCTTTATCGGCCCGAGAGGAACGATGGGCTGAGTCAACCCCCCAAGCAGGATTTGACCTCGTGACCTTCCGACGGCGAGCCGCTCCTCGCTCTGGCGCTGGGCCTCCTGGCCGCATTCCTGTGAATTCCATCGGCCAATGAGAGGAGCCGGCAGGCGTCGCGCGCGTCGCACTGGGAACGTGGCAGTGTGGGAACGGCGTCTCTCACCTTTACACCTCTTGGATTCCGCTTTTAAATATCTCGTCGAATTTCTTCGGGAATCGTTTTCTTTTATCGATTTTGCTCTGGTTTGTTTCACCACCTTGAGCTGGCATTTTGTTCATTTTGGCCAGAGCAGCAATCTCTGCTGTCAGCAACACGCATCACCGCCGGCTGCTGCCGCGCAACACACCGTCTTCACTTGAGTTGGATTGCCCACCAGCTGTGGCAACGTGCGCGTGTTTCTGTCAGGCGCCTGTGACCAGGAGGACTGGGTAAAATCTGTGCGACCCGTCATCGAGCGCCGAATTCAGAGGTGAGGAGGCGAGGCCACGCTCGCGCCGACATGCAGACCGCTGCAGTGTCAATACGCGTCGTGTGGAATACGCGGCAGTCTGCTCCAACCACAGGAACGCACAAATGCGGGCGACCTAAGCAGCTGCTGCCTGCAATGTTGACTGAGGCTGCGGGTAGTGGAGACCACGAGTAGCGGAGTTTCTTCCGTCAGATTTCGGTAGGGCCGTGGCCAATTTGGCGATGCTTGCGCCGCCTCCGTGCAGGTGTCGGCTGCTGTAGAGGGAATGTCGGCGAGTGGGGGCCACCTGGACTTGCGGCAGGGCCCGAACGCAAGCGGCGTCTACGGCGGGCGAAGAGCGGACGAACAATGCCTCTCTCGCTCATTCTGCCCCCTGTTTCGTCCGCTCGCCGAGCCGTGCACGGCCGGTGATGATTAGAGCGCCGTTGGTAACCGTGCAAGGGCCTGTGCCCCCACTACAAATGGTCGTGAATTGTTCTAAGTTGACTTGATGGACACAACATGGCCGAGCGTAAAATTTGGCATTAGGGCTGCATGGGATGTATGGCTTCTCGTTACCATCAAATTAGTTTCTAGACATGATTTCAGTATGCGGTTTTGGCTGACAGGCGAACACAAATATATAGTTATAAGCTGAAGCGTTGGTAATTTATATTTTTACCCCAAATCAGTTTATTGATTTTGAGTAATTTCGCACAGCTGTTCAAGTCCGGAAATAGCTTCACAGAAGGTGGTTATTTTGATCAAATCTACTGTAGACGTGGGTTGGGCGAGGATATCATCACACTGTGCCTATCCTTGCTCTGTAAATATATGTATTCAAGAAGATATCTTACATTTTATTTATCATACAAACAAAAAAATTTTCAGTGCCTACTGTGCCTATTGGATATTACGGCCCTGCATCTGCTTCACAGTGGCCAATGACAAGATCCTGCCAAGTGACTCCAAAACGATGAGGCCGTTGTGAGCCCTCGTCACGGTCGTAATTTCCCAAACTAAAAAAAATTTACCCACGAATTATCTGGGTTGCGATTGCGTGTAGCAGCATCGCCCTCCGCTGGCAGACTAATGGCCGCCTTCAGGCCGGTGCCGAGTCACCTTGTGCCGCACACGGATAGCTGCCGCTCGGGGGAGTTCCCTTTGAATGGCTGAGATGCGATGCTCGGGGATTTAAGCAAGTGCGCCGTATGTGCAAAGATTATTATTACCATCGTTACAATTGAGTTTGGCCCTTGCTATTCCAGTCGTGGGTCAGTGTCGCGTCCCCTGGCTGTGGAGTGGCTCACGGCAGCGGCACACGTGCCCAGAGTTGAGTTAAAAGTGTCCACGTGACGTGGCAAGAAGAGCATCTTCCTTTAATCGCCTCGCAGCATTGCGAGCATTTGATGCGATGGTAACACCACTCGTGCCTGGGTTCAGTTCCTGACTCGGGGTGCCTTTCGGCATGGAGTTTCTATGTTCTCCCCCTGAACACTGCATGGGTCTCCTCTGGGTTCTCCGGGTTCCTCCCACCAATGATTGCTCGTAAGAAATGTGATGCGTTTAATAATTACACACATTGTCTACTGTGCAGGTACACCGAGGGGGAGATCCGGTTCAGCCTCATGGCCGTGGTGTCCGATCGGAGGATGATTTACGAGCGCCGAATAGCGGAACTCCAAGCCGGCCTCACCCAGGTGCGGACCCACTCCCTCTCATCTGTCTGTGTCATTCACCTCTTGTGAGTGATATATAATTAATATGACATCATCAGCGATGGTTCGTCCACTGCTAAACTGAGGCCTCCCCAAGCCACCGCCACCTCCCACCATCCTGCGATGCAGAAATCCACCCAGCACGTGATTATACGGGGCCTGGCGCGGATAAAACAAACGCACGGATACGGCACTACAGATGCAAATGTGTTGGATGTTTAACCTACACAGAATGTGAGTGTCCGCGTAGTGCAAACTGGTTTTCTTGCCGGTCACTCGTTGCCTTGCGATGTCACGCCTGAGCGGGGGTGCACACGGTGACTTCCGTATTGACAACGTTGAAGCTGGGAAAGTTTTCATCGATCACTTGTGACTCGCAGCAAGACGGGGTTTGATTCCCGACTCGGGCACCTTTCTGCGTGGAGTATATATGTTCTCCCCCTGTTCTGCAATGTTTTACTCCGGGTTTTCTGGTTTCTTCCCATCACTAAAATAACACAATGTGGTGACCGGTACAGGCCAAACATCCCAGTGCTGAAAGATCATCTGAAAACTACTCAATTGGGATTACACGCAGCAGCAACAACATCGCCCCTTATGACCTAGCAGAACCCTCCGAAAAGGCAGATTTTTTACTGAATTCCTCTCTTTATGACACGTGCATACATGCGGGTGTATTGACCAATCATTGCTCACGTAGAGCCTTTAGAACGCTGCTTCCGTGAACATTTACGATGCGCGCGCACCAAGGTGACGCTTGCCAAGCGTCTGCTTGTGCGGTGAACGGAGAGAGCGTGGCCGGTGCCGTCCCCGCAGGGCGAGGCGCGGGAGGGCGGAGGCGCGAGGTCTCTGGCCGAGACAAGCGAGCTCATGCTGCTCATCGAGGAGGAGAACCTCAAGATGCAGCGACACAAGGTACGCGAGTGTGCACGTGTGTGCGCTTGAGTGCACGCGAGTGTGCGTGTTCCTGCACGTGTGTGCGTGATTGTGCGTGCTTTTGCGCTTGTGCGCACGTGCGTTTGTGCATAAATGTGCGCATGTGTAAACGTAAATGGGGCAGTTGTGGAGAAGGTGGAGAGTTTTCCATACCTGCGCAATGTGCTTATGACCAGCTCCGATTTGACAACAGAGGTCTCACTCCGAATCAGTCGAGCGGCATTATCTTTTCATCGGCTGCCTAACGCTTTGAGTCTTCTTGGCCACAGTCATGCCCTCCCTTTTCTGTTTGCGAAACGTGGACCCTCCTTAATGGAACAATTTCACCGGTTATAAACATTCAGGCTGGCCTGCCTACACTCACTCCTGGGTTAAACCAGGCTGGATTGTGTGAGGATCTCACAAATCCATGAAAAAACTGGACACAGTCCCATCAGTGAGCTCCTCCGGCAGGCGAGGCTGTGTTTGCTGGGTCATGTAGCCCACATGCCCAGCCACCACATACCTAAATAGCTTTTATTTGTCTGAATAGAGGGGGATAAAAGGACACATCACGGGCTAGAGAAGATATATAATGATGTGGTATGAGAGGATATGGAGCTGAGTGAATTGGCCAATGACAAGTACCAGCGGTGTCAAGATCAGCCTCTGGGAAAAGCTCGTGAAGGGCGCTACTGGGTAGTTGGAGGCAATTGCCATTCTGCAACAATAGAGAGCAGAGGCGCAATGCTCACAACAATGAGCAGAGCGCCGGGCGGCTAAAACACAGCAAGTTGGCACAGTAGGGGGCACAGGTGCTGCATATGTCAGTCATCTCAATCAGTCAACCCATGGTGCCTGGGTCTGTTCCGTGACCTGCCAACGAGTGTTCGACACTTCACGTGCCTCTTAAAGTGCACATAGCCTGGCACAAACGCCGTGGTGACGTTACCACCACTTAGAGGCGTATGACGTTTGTGCATGTATGGGGCGGGCGTTGGCGCAGTAGTTAGCGCTGCACTGCGCTACGGACCCAGTCACCCGAGTTCCATTCCCGCTCACAACCAATGACGGTAACAAATGTCTGAACAGTTCCCGGGCCTCCCCCAGGTCGACTCGGCCTTTAATGTGTACCTGGTACGGTGCGTAAACGTCAGCATTGTGGTGCTGGCCACAGCACTCCCTCGTGTGCAGGCCTGGCCTTCACAGGTGCTCACTAACAGCCCGTGCCCCAACAGTCTGTGCGGGCTACAAGGGGAACCGTTGTCTTCGTGAGAGATGGGAAAGGCCTCTGTGGTCACGCATTGCCGCCGTTTATGCTGTAGGTGGAAAACGTCCGCCGCAAGCACAACTATCTTCCCTTCATCATGGAGCTGCTCAAGACCCTGGCAGAACAACAGCAGCTGCTGCCTCTCGTGGAGAAGGTGGCACCTCCCAGCACACTCACTCCACTCGTGTTTTTTCCCACTACATATACATTATTAACAATGATTAGCATGAGTGACATGGCCCGATGCTTGCAGGCCCCTTTATATACGGGGCTCCCACAGTCACAGGGCAGCAGTGATTATTACCGATGAGTCCTAATGAGGACAAAACCATTCTCCAGCTGTGTCTTGTGTTTCACTGCTGGCCGAAGCGACGGCCACATTTCCTCAACTCTTTGAGCTCGTGGCCTTGGCAACTCGAGGGTCGCGCTTTCAGCTCTTCCGAGCTGGTGGTCTGGACAAGGCTGAGAGCATCATGAGCAGCGCGGCGGTCACATGACGTGCATGCAGGGCATGATGGTAGCCGTGCCCTGCTGCTGTGCGTGTTGTGTAATCCTCACCGTGCATGCAGGCCTGACCACATGATCCGCTGCTCCTCTGCACTTCTAGCCTTACATTTTTAGCAAGATAAACTCATTCTCGCATTTGTTATTCACGAAGCAATAATTATCTCGCTGCTCAACAGCCCGCGAGTACTCGCTCGTGTACGCCGCTTCTGTCACCACACCAACCGCTAAGACATGGGACTTGGGGGAAGACGGGTCACGCCTAAGAGAGATAGCGTCCAGGGGTAGAAACCAACTCTTGAGTGGCAGCTAAAAAAGGGAATGCGCCCAAGAGGACGTCCACCGCGGAGATGGAGTGGTGAAACCAGGCCGTCTGCAGGAGCTAGACGGATCTTTAGATCGCAGGATCGCGAGAGGTGGTGGAGTCTTTGGGAGGCCTTCATCCAGCAGTTGATGCTACACTGGGCTGTTTGGTCAATGCCAGTTACATTCTGTCTGTGCGTTTGGCTATGGGAAGAAACCAGAGATCCTGGAGGACACCCGTGCAGAACAGGGGGAGAACTTAGAACTCCACGCGGAAAGGCGCCCGGGTCGGGAATGAAACCCAGGCCCCGTTGTTCCTGCGAGGCCAGCGTACCGCCGCCCTGCCGTCCGGATATCTTGCTTTCGGCTAAGCCCAGTCAAGGTTGCGCTTCGCCATCGCTGCCCGCGCGCGATCTGTCTGTGTAGGCACTGCAACAGAACAACGGCATGGCCTTGGCTGTGGACGATGATTCTGTGCGCAGAGGAATGTCGGAGGCGGGGCGTGCGTGTTTGGCCGTACCCGGGGACGCACGACGCATTGTGTAGCTCTGTTTCCCCCGTCCGTGCATGCGTAAATGTGAACTTTCAAGCCACAGCGACTTCCTGCTCAAACGAATTGCGAGCCATCGGTGCTGATCTCCCGTTTTACAGCCCCTGAACCGGTTGGTGGAAATTCCACGTTCCGTTGGTGAGAGCGAGTCGATTCGTAGGAGAACCACTGTTGATTTCCCCACATAGCAGTACATATTTTCGCGATCCCAGAGGGGATGATGGTCTGAGTCAACCATGCCTGAGCAGGATTTGAACTTGTGACCTTTCCATTTGCGAGGAGCTCGCTCTACCGCTGAGCAACCTGGCCAGATGCACGTGAACTACACGCGTGATTGTACGTGAGTCGTCATTTATCCCCACGGTGCCTCTCAGGATCGCATGGAGATGTTACCTCTCAGGGCTAAATCTTGTACGTATCTTTGATCTCCTGCCTCTTCAGCTGACGACGACGATGATGATGATGATGCTGGGGCCACAGGAATGTTCACCAGAAGGAGCTGGCTGTCTTGTGGGCTCTTCTCCGGACCTTCTGGCTTTATTGGTGCTGCTCGCTCATTGCACTTTGCCCCAAGGCTACACGGGGGATCTTTTTCTTTGTGTGTGTGCTTGCAGGCCAAGGAGAAGGCAGCCGCCCGCAAGGTGAAGGAGGCCAAATGACGTCGTCGTCGTTCGTAGTCGTGTGTGTAGATTTCCTGCCTCTGTGAATTTGGTGAAAAAATAAAAATGAAAACTGACACGGTGCTGCTGCTGCCGCCGCCACGGCGCGGTTCGAGTGAGACTCGCGAACTCACCGCACGGCCTCCCGCGCGCGTCCACGTTGCACGACCTCGTGCGCGCGTCTCTCCATCTGCCTACGCCATCTCCATACGATGACCCAGCTCTTGCTGAGTCACTGCAGTCACTCGCTGACCAGCGTTCAGTCACCTCCTCATCACTCTTCTGTCGCTACCTGCCATGGTCACTTTTCCCATGTACTTCACTCGATTCCTCTACCCATCTTGAGGACTTGGTCGACCAGACACTGACTTCCATCTCATCCACACTTTGTTCAACCACCAACAACTGCAGGTCACAACAACAACAACACACTCAGCCACCCACTCATACACACACTACCACCCACCCACTCACCACACTGCAGGTCACAACAACAACACACTCCATTGGAACCTCCTTTGCCAGTAGCAAAATATGATAATTGTTTTTTACCCTTTTATCTGGCAACAAAACTGACACCTTTTTTACCCCGAGCTCTCATACTCTGATGGTGCATTGTCTTTGAATTGTGCGCCTTTTGGCGTCATCTGGTCCAACACCATGTGAGACTAGGCTCTAAGAAAAGTTGTCTCGGGTGTGGACCAATCAATTTCAAGGACAGTGCATATATTATCAGAGTTGTGTTTTTTGTTTGAATTCTGACCGGAGGTATTGTGGTCAATGCAAACATGACTCCTTGTAAAAAAAGGTGTCAGTTTTGTTGGCAGATAAAAGGGTAAAAAACCAAATATAACAACACACCCACCCACTCATTCACACACTACCACCCACCCACTCGCCACACTGCAGGTCACCTAACTTTTCCTGCTTCTTCCCTTCCCGTCGTCTCTTTTCCCAAGCTCTCATAATATTTATCAAATCAACACGTGTGTCAATCACAAATTGAATAGTGATGTTTGTTGCTAGCCGCTTGACGTTTTGGGCTTTGCTCACCAACGCTGCCATCATCACCCGCTCATCTCTCACCTCTGCTCCCCACGCGCTCCCCGCCTGCTGCTCTACACCTGTGGAGGCTGCAGTGTGAATGAGCGAGTTGAATAAACAAGCAAACAAGACGCCTCCTTCCCAAATCTGCCCCCCCCCCCACCGCACACAGGACAACGTTAAACAGTTTTACACATCGCATCGGCCGCACGGCCTTTTGGGAGTGCCATGATTTTTTTTGCAGCTTCGGTTTAATGCAAACAAACCGGACCGGTTTCGACATCGTCTTCCATCTTCGGGATCGGGCTCGCTGAATCAATGCTGATGCGCTGCCTGTTTGTTTGTCGGCAAGGGCGCTCTCCGTTTGACGTGGGTCCTCGTTTCAATCAAAAACTCTAATACAGAACACAACGTAATAACTGGCGTCGCTGTGGAGAATATAAGTAGCAAAATAAATAATCGTACAATGCATTGGTTTGTTGCGATCGTCAACGATCTAGATTGCAGTTGATTTTAAAGCGCTTCTTGCGTGCCGTACAGTAATTGTAAGTTGCCGTTGCATGCGCTGCCAAATGTGCACAAAGTGCTAATGGCTGAGTAATTATATAATGAAACCCATACACACTTCCCGTGCATGCACGGTGTGCGTGTGTGGGGGACAGGCGAGATAAGGGCAGGCGTTTCCTGGAATTGTGAGGAGCTTCCTGAGGGAATGAGGGTGAGGAGGAAGAGAGGCAGAATTCTAAGAGTGGAAAAGGCGGCGGAGTCATGCGCACACCAAATGCTTCCTACATCACCGCTGAAGAACGCGAACGGGGCAGACCGCGACGCTGTCGAAGCGGCTGGGCAACTTTGCTTGCGTTGAATCAATGCGGGTGAAAAAATATCGCTCCCAGAAGGCCGTTGTAGCCGATGGGATGTGTTTAAAAAAACACAAGAACGTGTTTTTTATGTAGAGGGACAGATACGGGACGGAGGCGAATTGTGTATTGTTGACGAATCGTGGGCTGCGGTGTTATTGCGAGTAAAGAAGCGTCAATTCCAGCCACCTTAGAAGTCGTGTGCACGTGAGGAACAATGAGACGGCATTCTGTTTGCGGTACATCTGCTGAGATGCCCATTCAGAATCCAGTGCAATTTGTTACAAACCTCAATCATCATCATCCGCTCCGTGGAGAATATGCCCCGGTGGCCAGATGCTATCACAGGAGGTCTTGGATTCGATCCCGACTCCGACGTCTGTTGCATGTTTTGACTTGCGCGTGTTCTCTCTCTCCCCCCGTGGTCGCGTGGATTTGTATCCACATCCCACAGTTTGTTTTCCCCAATTAGAAACGCGCGTTTAGATCGTCGTGTGGCTGCGACAATTTCCCCGCGTGCCATGATGGCAGCCCCTTCGCTGGGCGATCGTCTGTGGCTCGGTCGCCTCGGGAAAAGAGCTGCTCGCTCGGCGGGCTTTACTTTGTGAATAACAAAAATACATCGTTTCGTTTTAATTCCGAAGTAACGCGAAATACAAAAAACAATCGGCCTCCACGAATCGGTGCCTTGGCGTGGAAATGTTTAAGTATTTTTGTTTGACACGTCATAAAATCGGTCACACGACCTTCTGCCAGTGCATAATTCTCGGCAGCATTGGGTTAAGCCAGTGGGTGGTTCTTCATCTGGGATGCACGTTACCCCCTGGGTGTGCGAGACATGCCAGATTTGTTTTTTAGAAGGTAAATAATCGCTTTCGGAAACCGGTAACCGATTCTGAAAGCAGTTACCCGTTACCATTTAGCATCGTTGCAACCGTCGCGTCTCGAGTTGGAATCGGACTGAGAACCTCTGGTTTTGCAAGTCCAGTTGGTGTTGCTGCTGCTGACGTTTACGCCACCGTGGCAGCTGCCTTCCTTTCTCGTTTTTAAAAAAAAAGGTAAACACGTGGCATTTATTCGTTTAACCCCGAGAAAGCGGAGACTCGCCACCAATATTATCCATAGTAGAGGTGTGTTGGGTTAGATGGCGTGTCTATATGTAACGGGTTCCGGAGACACTTGTAGAGGTAACTTCTTTATTACAATACAACAGTCCAACTCTCCAACAGTCCTGATACTCTGTTACAGCCTAGGTACACAGCCTAGGTACACAGCCTAGATACTCTACTCTGGCTACGCTCCGGAACTCGCCCTCACAAGGTCGTAGAGTCGGGAGTTCCAGAGTCCCAGCGCTGGCTCTCACAGCATCCCAGGGTCTTCAGATGGCTGGTCGTGGGTCTTGGGTCTTGAGTTACAACTGGGCCCCGATCGTCCAGGGAGCTCTCCTTTTATGCGCAGTCCCCAACGAGGGATGGGGCCGTGTGCGCCCCCAGATATCCCCCAGAGCACACACAGCCCCCCCCTTTGGCGGCGCCAAGGGAATTAAGCGCCTGGGAACCCAGCGCCTGGTGCCAAGAGGCTTAAGCGACTGGCCCACCCAGGGTCCCAGAGCCCCCAGCAGCCCCTTCCTTCTTATGTCACTACATATAAATGCGTCGTGTAACCCACTCCCACCCGACACAGCCAACTAGGAAGGGTTGTCACGTAAACAAAACGTGCCAATTCGTTACGAGTTCAGCACACCGGTGTGGCATTTATTTCTCTCGGCATATGCGGCAAAACCGGTATTAACCGGTTTATGAATGCGGTTACCCGTGAGTTCATCATTTTTAACTGTCCTCGCCACGTGACCCCCCAATCGCAACTGGACACAACATCCACCCAGCCAGCAACAGCACGGAGACGCGGACAACGTGTCCGCGTCTCCGTCTCTGCTCGTGGCCACATGAGTGCCGTGTTTCTCGCAACGACCCATCGGCCCCACGGCCGCCTTGGGGGCGTCTCATTCCAGCAGCGTCGGTCCAACACGAAGCAAAACTCTGCACCGATATTCACGTTCGGGGTCTCATCAGCGAGTCTCTTGAATCAGTGCTGCTGAACGGACATGTTTACAGTCAAGGACCCGCTCTTTAAGATATGCATTGACTCTTCCTCTCTGGCCTGTCTGTGTGCTGTGAAAAAGGGTCATCGCTCGAAACGTCGGCGACTGTGTACCTTTCCTGTTAAGGCCACAGTGTCATAGACGCGTGTGTTGAGTTCATGTTATTTCTGCCCCACGGTCAACGCAGCAGCAGCAGCACCAATTACAATGTTTTTAATCTCTAAGATAGCTGAACGCAAACCTACATGATACACAACACGGAATACGATTTAACCAACTTTTTATATCGCCAGGTAAGGCCCACTGAGCGATCGAGCCACAAATGATAGCTCAACGAAGTGGCTGATCACGTGGACATTTATAGCAGCCAAATACTCTGAACGCGTGATGTTGATTCTAAATGTTGAGGGAAAAACCCGCAGGACCCGGAGAAAAATCCACGCGACCCACGGGGAGAACATGCAAACTCCAAATACAGCAGGCGTCAGGGTCGAGATGGAACCCACGACCTCCTGCATACCAGGCGAGGGAGTTAACATCTCGCCACCGCGGCATCATGCTGGTCTCCACCATACGTGCAGCTCGACCAGAGAGGCTCGCATTGACAACACAATCACTGCAATCTGCGAATGCCAGCGCGTACACAATCTCGGTAACATAAACACACCACACAAACCCTTCTCGACCAACTCGCATTGTTCCCTATCCACAAGGGAATCCATTAATTCATTGTGACGTGCATTCACTCACACGCCTATGTACACGTGCAGACATACACACACACAGCACATATACACACACACAGTTACGTACACACGTGAACACAAACAGACAAAGGTCCCCCGTGTCGCCTTATACTTTTGAGGAAAGTGTTATTAGCGAGCACCTATGAAGGCCGGAGCGGCACACGAGAGGTGGGTGGCCAGCACCACGCCCGACCGCCATTGACTCCCCAGTGGTGATGTTAAAACACCGCACCAGGTACTCATTTGAGGCTGAGTCGACCTAGGGGAGGCCCAGGACTGGTTCAGATAATCGTCTCTGGTGTTGGCCGTGAGCAGGAATCGAACTC